ATTTGAGTCCACATCATTGCTGCTGGATGTTCCCGTGCCAGTGAGACAAGTTGGTCGAAGTACCGAGAATATTGCTGCCGTTCAAGCTTCCGTCGCAAACGAACAGAACACGTCGATTCCACGGCGCTCTCAATAATTCGGCGTTGCTCAGCCCACACTATGGCGAATGTTGCGAAAGGATCTTGGCCTGCACCCTTATAAGATCAAATTAACTCAAGAACTAAAGCCGTTTAATCACATGAACCGATGTACGTTCTCAAATTTTGCTCTAGAAATATTGTAAGAAAATAAACAATTTCAGCACAAAATCATCTTCAATGATGAGGCGCATTTTTGGCAAACAGAATGTGCATTATTGGTCAGATGAAAACTCTCATGTGCTTCAAGAAACACCACTTCATCCATAAAAAATAACTGTATGGTGCGGTTTTCATGCCGGTGGTGTAATTGGGCCTATTTTTTTTGTCGTTGATGAAAATACCGTCACGTTACAGTCAACGAAGATCGCTACACAGACATGTTGCAACGTTATTTTTTTGGTCAATTGGATGAGCTAGAAATTAATGATATGTGGTTTCAACAAGACGGTGCCACAAGCCACACAGCGGGTGAAACTATCGACATATTGAGATCGGGTTATATTGAGAAACGTTCCTGTCGAATGGCCGCCTGGATCATGTGATTTAACACCACTGGACTTTTTTTGTGGGGTACGTTAAATCATTGGTCTATGCCGACAAGCCGGCGTCGTTAGAGGAGCTCAGAGGCAATATTGAACGAGAGATGGCGGCCGTTTCTGTCGAAATAATAATAATAGTAATGTCTTTATTCAGAAAATGATCATAGTATGGCGAAGTCTAGCCATGGCTACTCTACCACTCAACCAGACATCACTAGACATTAGCATAACAACATGAATCAGTAGCTGTAAGGAATGCATTAAAAAGGAGTAAATATATAATATGAACATAAACAAAGAAGAGAAACAATAAAACAAGATATCGTTCAGCAAAATGAATTTATCACTAAATGTGCTGAGTTCAGAAAGTGCAACCTGACTGTCTTCTTGAAGCGCTGCAAACTGAAGCTTCTAGAGATAGCTGGTAAAGAATTGTATACCTTGATCGCATTATAAGTAAAGAACCTTTCAAAGACCGACGTACGATGTATAGGAATGGAACGTAGATCATTGTGCCGCAGATTTAGAGTAATTTGGTTTCCACGAGGAATCAACTTACCGAGTAAATAGACGGGTTTGCCAGTTTTAAAAATTCTTTGCACCAATGACGCTATGGAATAGTTGTATTATATATATATATATATATATATATATATATCAACTCCTAGCCATTGTAACTCCTTGATTTTTGAAGAAACGCAACTGTACTTCCTAAGACCAAATATGAATCCGCAACAGTTGTTCTGAAGCTTCTGCAATTTTGACTTGCAAACTGAGCCTAGGCATGGGTAAATGAGGATTAGAGAGTAAGCTAAAGTTGGTAATATGAGGCTTTCATACAACTTTTTACGGCCCATAAAATATAGAATATGGCGACTAGAATATAAAAGCTTCATCTTCATATAATTCGACTTCATAATATTATTGACATGTAAGTTAAATCTAAGATTTGAATCAAATATAACACCTAGATTCTTAGCATTATCAAAAAATGAAATATTAATGTCGTTGATAAATAAGGAGACTCGATTTGTGATATTGTAATTTGAATGTTTAGGACAGTATGGCATCGCGGTACATTTTGATGGATTGATGCGGAGACAGTATCTATTATAATACGTTAATACGCGATCTCGGTTAATTTTATACGATGCTTCATGTAAGTTGGATTCATTGAAACGAAATGTTAGTTGTGTATCGTCAGCATACATTTGAATGCAACAATGTTCTACACACTCACGCAGATCGAATGTGTATACTAGGAATAAAAGGTCCCAGTATTGAACCCTGTAGAACTCCTGATGACAGATACCGTGCATCGGAAGTTCCTCTAGATGTTTTCACTTTTTGGGTGCGATCAGTTAGGTATGATCGGAAGAAATTCAAAGGAACTTCCGACATGCCATAATATTTTAGCTTATTCAAAAGAATCTCATGATTCGAAATGTATGGCAGAGTAATTGAAAATTGGGTTCAACGAATCGATCGCTGAGAACTTGCACGTGGTGGACATATGAATTCCATACATAAATGTTTTGAGTATACTTCAATTCAATAATAAAATTTTCGAGATATCTCAAATGGTTCGCGTTTTATTTGAAAAGAAAGTTGTCAAGTCCTTAATGGAAAACCCTATACTTCCTTGGGCTTAAATTATTTGCAAAGACACGGACTAATTATTTCCGATTACATGACCACCATGATCGCCATATTTGACACCTATTGGCTTTCCGTCGCGTCGCTCGAACTGGCTTATTCAATAATCAGTTACCATTAGATGACTTGTGGAGTAGTACAGTGTTGGTACAACATGGTCAAGAGGAAGTCGTAGTTGCAGGTTCCGCCTCCTCACCACTACTACAACTTCCTTATGAGGTATTCCAAGCGCAAAGGTATATTACCTAGACGATTGAAGATATCTGACGCAAAATAAGCAAAACTCAACCTGCTATGCTTCGAAGCATTATGCAAAATGCAATATCGGGTTCCAGAAGAGCTTACAACAAAATAAAGACCGTTTAGACGTAATCCTTGAAAAACAAGGTCCATAGGTCTTCATTTTATATTTGTTAAATTTGAAAATTCTGAATCTTGTGTGGAACACCCTGTATAAGAATACAGTCATAATTTAATCTCAAATCCAGTGTCAAAGTATGAAAACCCGTCACCATATAATAATAATAATAATAACAATAATAGCCTTTATTTAACCTGGCGGGTGTCAGCTAAAAGCTGTTTTTCATACCAACCAGGGCCAAACAAAATGATAATACAAAATCTGGGAGACATAAACATTGTTGAGTAACAATAATGAAAAATCTATTATGCCAAGAATAGGCATTTTTTTTAATTTAAAGAAAAAATCATATATAGTCACAGTTAACAGTTACACCATTACATTAGCTAGAAACTAAATAATATAAGGAATTATGACATATTTTCAAAAACAATTTTTTTTACTTTTGACCTAAAAAGTGGAACAGATAAAACTTTAAAGCTGACAGGGAGCATATTATAGCGATTGGGTGCAACAAAAGAGAAACTCTTAGTAAATAGGGTGGTTCTATGATGGGGCGTGTTAAGGGTGTAACCAACGAAACGGAGGTTGGCTGCATAATGCTGACTTCTCAAGGATAACTTATTATTTAAGTATATAGGGTATTTGGTCAATAAAATGCTATGAACCAAACATAAAATGTGAACCAACCACCTCTGCCTCATCGTCAACCAATTCACTTCTTGAATAAATGGAGACACTCGCTCCCTTCTTCGGATTCCAACAGAATATCTAATACAGCTGTTCTGCACTTTCTGAAGTCTGTAAGCTTCGGCTTCAGTCAAACAAGGACCAAACACGGAACCGTATCTACTAGTCTGGATGACAAGTATTGTTTTATATGATTATTGTACTAGAGAATCAGTGTCACTATACGACTATAGAAGGGAAAAGCGCTTCAGAATATAAAAACACCATTGTTTCACTTACGAAGAATTTCACTCCGAACAAAACTCGGACAGAACAAAACAATTTAAGAAAGAAAATCGATGGTCAAAAGCTCGTTACATCCAGAAACGTCAACCAAACCACTCCAAAACCGTTCCTGAAATCCAATAAGACTGCGGACGCCCGAAAAAAGATTGCGAGTCACGTATACTGTCTACTTTAAAAAGCAACAAGTAGAATTGAACGTAACAACCGCTGAAGCAGGAGTTCCGAATGTTTATGTGCGCTGTGAAGGTTGATGCATTATTTATCACCAGTTTGCCTGTAACGAATTGAGTGCTTCCAAGATGATCTCAGGGCATCAAAGCAAAGTTGTTAGCTATATATATACAAACACGCAGTTCTATCTCGATAAGACTACGCCTTGAAGCAGGCCACTTATCCAACTCGTCCTCTCGCTTAAGCTTCTCTGACATCTCTAAAAAAAACAAACATTTCAATAAAATTCAAATTAAGTAAAAAAGATAAGACAGTACGTGATCAAACTTGCGAAAAATTTGACATGTACATTATTTTGTTGAGAAATATAATGTTGAGTGAGTCCAATTATTGTGTCTCACTATTAACAGGTAGGTTTGTGTATTTACAAACTTCAGTTGCCATTTTTGTTTAATTTACTAAAAAGTTGGGACTTTTTTACCACATTACAATCAAACCAACGTGGCGATATAATTTTGAAGCGACGATCTCTAAGTACCAAATATTGATTCCAAATGTATTTAAAATTACTATTATAACGTCAACCTGCCTATTTATCTATTACTTATTTATTTTATTGTTATCGGTGCAAAATGGCAGCGAAAAAAAAGTTTTCCGAATATTACGTTAAGTTTCGATTTACCCTCATAAAAAAAGCGACTAACAATTGCCTCAGTGTGTGATATGTATGAAAGTTTTAAGTAATGATAGCATGGGGCCCAATCGCCTTGAAAGGCATTTGAAGCAACAACATCCTACTCTGGTTTTGAAGACGAAATAGTTTTTCTATTCTAAAGCAGAATCACTCAGGCGGATGAGTCGAGAAGTTATCACACAGGTGTGTCGCAGCATCTCAAAGCTTCATGTGAAATAGCTTTTATGATAGCAAAGCAAAAAACCTCATACTATCGGTGAAGAATTAATAAAACCATGTGTCCTAAAAGCCACGCAGATAATTTTAGGAGAAACTGTAGAGCAAAAAATGAAGTCTATTTTTCTTTCGAATAACAGAGTGAAGCATGGAATCGAAGACATTGCAGCAGACATAAAGTCACAGATAATTAACAAAGTAAAATTATCGCCATTTTTTGCCGTTAGTTGCGATGAATCCACCGACATCGTTAATTGTGCACAGTTAATAGTTTATGTTCGTTACATCGGCGGAGATATCATTCAAGAAGGGATTTTGTACTCCCAATTTTTGACAGCAGGTACTACATCTGAAGATATATTTAATCCAATATAAAATTTTGTTGAAAACATTATTAGGATTGAAAGAAACTCATTGGACTTTGCACAGATGGTGCACCTGCAATGATAGATATAAAAAGCTCAAGAAAAAAAATCCCGCAATGGTTAGAACACATTGTGTTATTCATCGGCAAGTTTTGACTTCCAAAACATTGCCACATAAATTATGCCAGACTTTGGACTCGGTTATAAGGATTGTAAACTACATCAAGAGCAGTGCTTTGAACAGTCAGTTATTTACCTTACTTTGCGAGGATCTCGATTCTAATCACAAATTTTTTCTGTTCCATACAGAAGTATGGCTGTTCAAAGCAACATGTTGGCTCGCCTTTATGAATTGAAAGAAGAGGTAATACTTTTTCTTTAGTTCAAAGAAAAACACGATTGCTTGACAATGTTCAAAGATGACACATTTGAATGGAATGGAATACAACTGACATATTTGACTCCTTGAATGAGCTAAACTTGAAACTTCAGAGCAGAAACAACACTATAATAATCAACTATGATTATGTTCAGGGATTCATATCAAAGCTTCAACTCTGGAATCAAAAAGTGTCTTGTGAGAATGTTATATCTTTTTCTCGGCTGTTTGAAGCAACTAAGAATAACATACACGACGCAAATTTAATAGCTGACAAAAACTCATTTGCAAGCGCTGGAAGACGAATTTTGCCGATACTATCGAAACATCAATTCATTAACACCAATATGGCACATGGCAAGAAATCTATTTGCTGTCGATGTATCACAATTACCAGAAGAAGTTCAGGAAGAATTTCTAGAAATGAAAGCTGATTCGTCCATGAAGGATGACTTCCATTTTTTAGCATTGGAGAAATTTTGGATCAAAAGATTGCCTGTTAATTCTACACTTGCCTCTTGTTTTACGAATACTAGTTCCTTTTTCTTCAGCTTACTCATGTGAGACAGGCTTCTCAGCTCTAGTTTTAATTAAAACTAAACAGTGACATCGTATTGATGTCGATAGCGACCTGATGACAGCTCTGGCAAAAACAGAACCCCGAATCAGCCAAATGGTACAGAACATGCAGTCTCAAGTGCCTCATTACTACCTACTCTTATTTAATTTATGGTTTTCGATAAAAAACATCTATTAGTTTACTTAAACTTTTAAAGTTTCTTTATTAGAATTAAAATAAAAGTCTCTGTACATATATAACGTGAGTTTTTTGTATTTATTGAAAACGTAAAGGCGGGCCTGAAAATATAATTTATAGTCCGGGGAGCCTCAGCAAAAAAATGTTTGGGAAACCCTGATGTAAAGGGTGATCCATCTGTTGGTCAATTTTTGTACTAGGGCTTATCTCACAGTTGGCAACACTTACATTAGTTCTGTTGAGACAGGAATTTAGTAAAGAGTCTACGGTGAATGAATATGGATCGATATACGCTTGAACAACGTTGGGAAGTGCTCAAAATTGGATGCTTGGAGAACCCCCATTTTTACCGAAAAATCATTTTTTGTGTTGTATTTGGTGCTCAGAATAGCCAAATTAAATTGCCTAAAAGCCAATACATCCACCACGCATGACTGTTTGATGTGGTTTAAGGTCTGGTGGCATTATTGGGTCGACAGAATCACCTACGTCAAACTCAAAGCTGGCGCGCATACGGATGAGACTGTATTTCATCACTAACCGGAAAGATAGTACTCTCAAATAAAAAAAATCCCGTTTGGCATAAGAACTCTGCATTTTCATTTTAACGGTCGATTTAAAAATGAACCAACATATGTATCGCCCTTTACATCGACGCTATAATACAACTGTCCTGCTTGGGCCGTTCTCGTTTTTTAGCATCACTCGGTAATGATTTTGTTAAGTTATTCAGTTAATTTTCCATACCCTTACTTTTTGCTGGCGCATAAAAATCGGAGTGACAATTCAGATGTGGAAATGAATTTTCTCCTACATTTTCCGCATCAACGAAACCGCTCCTTTTAATTTCCTGGATTCTGATAAAGGATACTTATCACGTACGGAGAAAGGAGGAAATATTTTTATATCTCTACGTGACGATTTCTAAGCTCTGTATTATTTCTGAGTGGTATTCCATTGCCAAGGCATACTTAATGACAAAAAATATACCAAGTTCATAAAAATGAAGATCCTGTTCTGTTCGATTTTTGAAATGACAATTGAAGGTCTAAGTTCATACTATGTTTCAAAGTAATATTTACCTATCACCGTTTCGATCTAGATACTCATATGAAAATGGAACACATCTACGAATTAGACATTACAATTACAGATCAATAATACTAAAAATGACTATAAGCGGATTCCCAATATGCAGATGCAGAGTTCTTAACTTTTGCAAACGTTAATTGGAGGAACAGCTACTTGACTTGAACTTCCTACTTTCATGAGGTAAACGTTATAAATAGAAGTATATTAAACACCTAGTTTGAGAAGTGAGTAATTATTGGGCGAGCATTTTTACAACCTCACGCGCAGAGCGCCGAAAGATATAATATGCGAGACTAATAATGGCCTTCTCAAACGAGGTACGTGAAATATTTCACTACCAATACTATACGAGTATACAGGGTGTTTCAGTTTATTGTTGCATAACTTTAAGATACGATAGAACTTTTAAAATTAATGCATAAAGTCTATATAAACATGGGTCGAAAAATGCGTGGCTTCCGAAATACAGGGTGTTTAAATTTACTTTCTAAAATAGTTTTTTTGAAATATTTCGATCAATATTTGATGTATAACAGTGAAAATTGGTAGATATACAAGGTTTTTTTGGTACGACAAAACGAACCACGGGCATAGTTTTACTGTAGCCGCTAGAGGGCGCTCTCTATTGTACCTGTAGTGAATTAAAATGACCGACAATTTTTTCTTAGTGTAATTTTTTGCTTTTTGAATGAAAAAACTGATTCTTCGCACATTTCAACATAAAAAAGCTCTCTTGTGAATTTTCGTTATAGTTAGCCGTTTTTGACATATTTCGATTTTTAAGGTTCGATGCATTTTTAATTATTTATGATAAAATAACGTTAAAAAGTCAGTATCTCGATAATTTTTAGAAGTAAGCTGTGCCTGCAAATATTTTTGAAATTGAAAGCAGAATAAGGTTAAACGTCAATTAGTTGACAGTTAGTTTTGTTGTCTGTTGAAACCCGAAACGTTTTTTTGCAATTGTGAATGCACGAAATTTAGTTTCTTTTACCTGTTTTTTTTTTGTAAGTTTTATAAAAGTGCCATTTTTATTCTCCAATCAAGAGTTAGCGGATCTTCATTTTGTGTATGGCTTTGTAAATGGAAACGCAGCAGAAGCAGCCAGAGAATACGTACGAAGATTTCCAAACAGACGACATCCAACTCGCTCAGTATTTGTAAGAGTGCATCGCCAAATAATTGAAAATGGTTTTGGAAATCTCCAAAGGGATCAAAACATAAATGTTTGTCAGCGCAGATTTACCCGTATGATTCTGCGTGAGTTTGATAGAGATCCGACCAAAGTGTTAGGATGGTTTCTGGTGCCTTGGGAATTTCAGCAAGCCATGTTCACCGTGTTCTTAGAAATGACCATAGACGTCCTTACCATTTGCAACCTGTGCAAGGACTACAGCCAGGGGACGGAGAACGAAGAATCAGATTTTGTCAGTGGATTCTTGATAGAACTGATAATAATAGGGAGTTTTTGAATAACGTTTTATGGACCGATGAGTCAGGCTTCATTAGACGTGGAGTGGTAAATTTTCATAATCAACATATTTGGTCGCATGACAATCCGCATGCAGTTCGGGAAAGAAATTTTCAGCATGAATTTAGTGTGAACGTGTGGATTGGTATCTACCGTAATCGACCTTGTTGGAATTTTTAAAGGCTGAACATGCAAATATGTGGGATGATGTTATATTAGATTTAAGAAGATTGGTCTGGTTCCAGCTTGATGGTTGTCCAGCTCATTATTCGAGAATAGTTAGAAACTGGCTGGACGAAAATTATCCAGAAAGCTGGATCGGCCGTGGAGGACCAGTCGCCTGGCCTCCACGATCCCCTGACCTAAATCCGTTAGATTTCTTTGTGTGAGGATTTCCAAAAGAAAAAGTGTACCAGACTCCCGTAACCACAAAAGATATGCTAATAGACAGAATCAGGAATGCATGTGATAAAATAAGGCCTTATTTGAATAATGCTATACCACGTTCGATCATTCGTAGACGTGAATTGTGTATTGAACAATTGGGTTTACATTTCGAGCAACCACTTTAGATTTTGTATATTTGTCCTAACTATCCAATAGCATTTTAGTTGTAAATAATTAATTTAATTTGTTAAAAATAATATTGGAAAATTAAACAAATTAATATTCTGTTTTTTGTGTTTATTTGGAGTTAGGAATTATTGTAGTGTTTAAAAACACAATCTAAACGATCATCTTAATTACTTGTAATGCCCAAATCGTAAATGTAAAAAAAATTATTTTCCCATAAATAATTAAAAATGCATCGAACCTTAAAAATCGAAATATCTCAAAAACGGCTAACTATAACGAAAACTCACAGGAGAGCTTTTTTATGCAGAAAAGTGCGAAGAATCAGTTTTTTTATTCAATAAATTGCAAGAAGAAAAAATTTTCGGTCATTTTAATACACTACAAGTACAGTAGAGAGCGCCCTCTAGCGGCTACAGTAAAACTATGTCCATGGTTCATTTTGTCGTACCAAAAAACCCTTGTAGACCAATTTTCACTGTTATACATCAAATATTGTTCGAAATATTTAAAAAGAACTATTTTAAAAAGTAAATTTAAACACCCTGTATTTCGGAACCCACGCATTTTTCGACCCATGTTTTTATAGACTTTATGCATTAATTTTAAAAGCTCTATCGAATCTTAAAGTTATGCAACAATAAACTGAAACACCCTGTATAACAAAATATTCGATCATGGTATTTCCAACTTATTTTGCAAATACTTTAAAATATTTAGTTGTCTAGTGTGAAACTTACAAAATTAAATTAGTGAATGCAACATACAGCCGGTTTGGTTTGTACTGATCCATCCAAGGTGTTTTCTTTTTGTTAATATTTAATGCCATTTTCAAGCATTACGTCGATTATTGAGGAATTCAATGAGAACAAGATCAAGATCTATACTGAAAATGACTTATTTTATGAAGTATAAAGTTCAGTTGTCAAACGCACACAATGTAATTGACAGAACAATTTTAAATTACATTATTATTTACCTAGGTATTTTTTTTTTGCTTTCATTATTCATCTGGGAAGAGAAGTGACACTTTTCGTTAGGGCATTGCAGCAATGATTGCGATCAATAACGGTGAATTCTTGGGT